TCTGATGCCAACGTGCAATGCCAGTCGTCGGTTTTGTTTAAATTGCTTTTGCTAGAAATTAAGCGACCGGAGACCGCATGCGACCACACATTCTACGAGCAGAAAATTTGGCTGTTGGGGTTTGACAAGACACAGAATGCAGGCCCAAACAATCAAATGCCTCACAGGCACCTGCTGTTTGGGCTGTATGCCGTTTTGTGGCACCTGCACTCACAAACCAAAATAAAAACTTATTTTTCTTGCTGGATCAAACAAACATTGATTGTCGAAGTATGGTATAATACCAGGACATGTGCTTTACATTGGTGCTTGACAAGGCCGCCGAAACCAAACGATGTGGTCGTCCATCTAGCTCTGGTCAAAATCGGCACATTACCCTTTGGTTACACCACTGCAGTATTCCAGCACTCTGGTTACACCACTACAGTATTCCACTATAATTGAGTCACTAGGAGTCATCTGCACTGACCCCTCTTCTCTCTCTCACTCTCAAAATTGCACTACCCACGATAAAACGGTCTAGGTTGTTGTTCCAGAATTCAACACAAATTAAAAAAGAAAGCACCTTCAAAAATACAAAGCATGCAAGGAAAAGACACGTGAAGCTCACCCAGTGCAACAATTACAGAAGAAGCAGGCAGACTGTTACGAAGCTCCTCTGTGATTTCTGTTGTCACCTAAGAAAAGTCAGAAAATATGTGGGGTTAATTGAGAAATGCACGAAATGCTAGTGAAGGTACCATACATCTATGAATCTATATTTATTCCCACAGAATATAGAACTGTGGGACACGAGCAAGACGACGTAAGGCGGATCGCCAAGAATGATGCCCGAAGAACTTATCGTGGCCGGCGACTTTACCACAGATGCACGAATATGGGGATACAAGCGAGACAATGACAGAGAGTTCAATGTCTTAACACCCGCCAAGCAGGCCAATCTATGAATTCTCAAAGAAAAACAGACTGCCATTCGCATTGGCAAACGTCGCACTGAGAACGACACCACAACAGACTTGACATGGGCCATACACAACATCCAAGCCCGAGGGCGAACTGCTCCGACGCCTTGGGAAGCAAGTACCTAGCCGTCGAAATAGAATTAATGACAGAAAGACACCGCAACACTAAATGACAGATCAGCTTCATTAACCTTACACCTGAAAAAGTGTCTAGGTGAGCGAATAATGAAAGCCACATCCACTCAGAAGTACCAAGCCAAACAAGACGACCCAGACCCCGACCTTCATCTCCTCAACTTGTGTGCTATCAGACTGCAAGCCCAACAATGTTACAGGAGAAATAAGGACTGAAAACTCCAAGCCAATTTCAATGCAACCACGGTGAAGATAAAAAATACACCCAGAAGCTCCGTAAACAAGTTAGGTGCGAGCTCCAAGATAACACACAACGAGTGTGGGGCACATTCAAGAGACTCTAGCAGGAAGGCCGACAACTTTAAATCCACTGCTTCCTGGTACACCAAACCATTCCCAAGGAAATGAAACAGCGTCTGCCGCCCCATGCGAGTTCCTGTCTTCCCTTATTTTTACCATCCTTGGTGACAACAGCGCCGCCTTCATTGAAAAAGACACAAAGGATACCCTATTCTCCCAGGAAGCCACACAACAGGCCCACTGAAAACACCTCACGGCTCTACTCAAAGAAGACTTAGACCCACTCCCAGATGGTAATTATACCAGTTGGGAAGAGATTCGCCTGGAAAGACAACGGACCCACACCACTATGGTTTCCAAGGAAACAGCAAAATGTAACACCCACAAGAAGAACATGGTGCATAAGCCGCCATACACAAGAAAAGCCTATGCGCCCACTGCGAGGTCACAGTCTCGGAAGCGCACTCCTGTTACTGCCCACACATGCAAGTCAAGCAACCCTAAACCTTGAAAGAGTCTGTTAATCCCACGGGTATTCGGGAATACCAAAAGGCTATTCTTCATTCACCCCTCACTTATGTGAAAGAGGTTTGTCTCACCCACTTTATTTTCATCTCACCCGTATTTCCTTTAACCCTTCATCCCACCTACAGGAGATAGCATTTGCTGAGATTAAAGGATGCGGTTCCTGTTATTTTTTCATTAATAAGGACATTTTTAATTACAAACATTTGTTGTCCTAACGCTCAATAACAACTAAAAACAGCTTTAAATAAGCAGCAATGTATCTGCTGATATCTGTCACAAAGCCTCATTGTTACACCTGCGGGACAAGGAAGTTACTAATATTAAAAACAAATGATCCTAACTTAGGAGTCGAAGTGGAAGTACAAACGTTTGTCACTAGTTAATTCTCTAGCATAATTTTTGTGTTAACTCTAACACTCGATCCCAAAAATGCAAAACATCATGTGAACCCATTAGAAGAAAGTGGTGCAAGAGTGGGTGCTCACCGCCACTCCCCCTTTGGTTTAGTCAAATATTTATGTAGAACATACTATAAGATGACCCAGCCTAGAGTTGCATATCTTCCCATTGCACTCTAATGTGAAGTATAATAAATTGAGCCACCTCAGCCAGGAAAAAATTAAGCAAGGTTTGGCTCCTCGTAGAGCAATAGTAATTTCACTTTTTACGTGCTCATTATCAGCATTGTCGTCAGATACCAAGAAAGCGTTCACAAAGATTTTGCAGGCAATTCTGAAAAAGTGAGGGGATGGTCGCTCAGAAAGCGAAACTGCAGAAAGAGTACAAGGCATTGCAATGGTTAAATATCACTAGATAGGCGCCTATTCGGACATAGGTGCATGACCGGTATGTTACGGTATACAGCAAGACTGATATAGCTGAAAATTCCAAAAATGAAGAAAAGTTTAGTATTTCCAGATGCATAGTCTCTCAATGGAATGCTGACTGCCTGTGTGAGACTTCCAGGAAGTTCTTTTCAACAAGGTCATAAGGATGTGTCTTTGGAAACAAATAGCCTGGTTATTATGAATGCTCCTACCTGATGTAACTGGAAGAGCTCTCCGAGGTTTTCTTGAAAGTAGGATGCAAGCAATGGGAGGAGGCAGACAGCTGCTGCGTTTTGATCTTTGAACTCTGCCTCGGCCTTGTTGATTTTGAGGCTCCACTCGACCACAGCATCATTTTTGGGGCTTGAACGTAAGAATGTCACGAGGAGGAGGACACGTTTGGGCAGGCTCAATTTTCCGTCCAGACAGACACCTGTAAGCCTTAAAAAATTCATGTTATCACTGACTCCTCATATCCAAAATCGTTGTGATCAAAATACCTTTTTGCAAAAAGCAAAATATTGAAGGAAAGAACTCTGCAAAGACCACTGTATGGTGAAAGTAGCAATCATATTCGTTGTTCAAAGCACCTTTTTATGAGCATAATAGTGTATGTTTGTTTTAGGAGTGAGTGACTCCTCCAAAGAACTGAACATATTCTGCCTTTCTAAAAAGGTATATTTGTGCAAAAAGATTTTCAAGCACACATCCCAGGAAAAACTTTGAAACTGCTGCAAGGTTTCATCAGTCTGATGCGAGGAGCAGTCGTAACAGTGCTTTGGAAATAGCGCCAAAGCCCTGTCATCCCTGAGCGTGACATCATACCCAGATTTGTCGGAACTTCTGCTCTTGCGTGCCTACAATGCCCATCAAAGCTACGCACGTCCACTCTTGATATTGTCAGAAAGGCCAGACGAAGACGTCACAACCAGTGTCACATGCAGGGTAATATACCTGGCAAGCTTGCAATTCCATGTGCTGCCGACATGAGCAAAAACGCGCTTGGCGGCCGAAAAATCTGGATATGACGCAACGACCGGCCTAAGGTCTCTCGAGTTTTCTCGCATTTAGTTACATCTTCAGGGTTCACGGGATAACATTATGCTGAAATCTGGCTCAAATTCAGTTTTCTTAAGAACCTCTTTACTTCCCTTTAAAGAGAGACGACAGGGAGCACTTTCTGCATGGCTGAAATCCCTCCCGTAGTGTCCTTCTCTCCCCTCCCTCTTGCACTCTTCTCTCCTCCTTACCCGAAAACAGAATGTCCAAAACTAGCCTCCACAGAGAGGAGGCAGTGTCTCTTCCTCTTTGGGGTGCAAACGAGGAAAGCGAGGGACAGCTTCCTAATCGTTTTGCATTCGTCAGCCTTTAAGAGTGTTGGCTATTCATTCCGGTAAATACAACCACTGGTGCCAGTGTCATTGCTTGTTTTGTTCTCTTCTTGTGCATCCTAGTTCTGTCAGAGAAGACCAATAAGCTAACTTTTATGTCTTTGATGTGTTCGCTTACAAAACACAATGAGCACAGTACCTATAGGTTTTCCAATTTCTCGAAAGAGAACACCAGCTGACTTTTCTGCGCAGTAGACATATTCTAGAATATTAATAAATATTGTTATTATACTGTGTAACTAAAATTCCAAGCAAAATAATCCAAGTGCATTTCTTTGTAGTTTGTAGTTACAGTCTTTGAAACTTCTAACTATGCCATCAAAGTGTTACGTTTGAAGCAAAAACTCTATACTGCACGTCTGTTGCTAATTGCCTGCATAATAAATAAAGACAAATTGGCAGAAACTTTGCTAGGGAACCTTTATCAATTAAATAAGTTCTTTGTTTTTCGTTCTATGAAATTAGGTGTTTCGAAGTTATTTTTAATTTCTCATATTACGTTATAATTTGCTTCACATTTGCTTTTAACTGAAAAATTACTACTCCCCCATTCCTAAACTAAACTCAAGCTTGGACTTGCCTGACACCCAAGAATCTGTTGTTGCAATGAAAGTGTGAGTAGCATCCTCAGGTGACTGATCCAAGCAAATGAAAGCTTCTTCGTCCTCCTCCGTTCCATCCAGCATGTGTACCTGGAAACAGGGTATGTTATTTTGAGAATAAGAATGGCTAAGTACATAATTTCAACTTCTGAAATTATTTTACAAACCTTGATGTCTCCATTGCAGCATATACCAAACTCTATCTCCTTTCTCTTTAAGGCGTCGAATGTGGCAACCACTGCTAGTTTCTTTATCGTTTTATCAAGGCTCCAGATCTTGACTATCATCTGAAAAACAGTGAACGTACAAATGCAAAGTTTATGTTATGTGCTACAAAACAATTGTAATTTAGAAAAAAAAAATAAGGGTGCAAGTTAGCTGGTAAAGCATTGCTACAATTTAACAGGGGGTCTACAAAAAATTAGTGGTCTTAAATTCGCCGACTTTTCCCAGTTTTTCCATTGACTATTTTGATAAAATCCCGTGAGCCTTTGCGGGTCAAAGGATCATATTTCAGAAACATTATTCGGCATGGCTCTGCTCATGCGCAACCATCTAGCTTTGTTCCGCATTGCCATTCCACTTTTACTGGTCATTTTCCCTGGTGGGGCCAACGTTTTGACGATATTCCCTGATAATTTCACGACTTTTCCAAATGTTACTCCCCACTACTGCAAATTAAAGTTATTAGACATTGCGGCTGTAAAAACTAGGGAGCCTTCATGTGCGCTTTGCTAGGGTGATGCCACCCTTTGTAATACCACTCACCGACAAACCAGCAGCCATTTTGGTCCTTGGCGATAATCCGTGGGCTTATAACCCTTCCGGAAACAAGTACCTTATCTCACAAGTTCGAAGCAGCGTTGTGGAACCCACGGAATGAGGATTAGCATTTCCCCCCTCGAAGGGAGGACCGATGGAAACAAAGGCCACTTTCCGGCGCACGTTGAAACAATTAGGAACAAAATGGCGGTGGACGAGGGTGTGGGAAAGGGAAACAGGCAGTTGGCATCACCCTATGCGACGCGCACATGAAGGCACCCTAGTAAAAACTTCCAACGAATGCTATAATATATTTAAAAAAAACTAGAAAAGCCTGCCTAGAGGTTTTTTGTTTGGCCTACATTTTCCAATTGTCTGTAAAACAGACAATTGTCTGTAAAACAGATGTCCCCTGTCTGTAAAACAGACAGGGGACATCTTGCAACTCACTTTTTCAGTATACTGAAAAAGTGAGTTGCAAGATGTCCCCTGTTTTTAAATTTGAGGTAATTTCCACACAAATCACTGGTATCATACCTTCAAAATCGTCGAACAATAGTGAACTCCGCAGCCTGATCACAAGACAGTTGAGGAGTCTGTACGGGACATATGCATGTATGTCCATCAGCTGAGAGGAAGACAACAACTGTAGCTCTTCCACTTCCAATTCCATCAACTTGTAGAGCCTGAAGTTTGGGAGGAATGCAGACGCTGCTTTTTTCACAAAAAATAATGGAGTTGCCTCATGGCCAGACTCTACCACAATATGCAGAAGCTGGCCGAACTGCAGGTTGTACTGGTCCCCACCAAGCACTATGTAAGAACCTGGCTTGTAATGTGTGCCACATAGTGATGCGAGGGCTCGGAAAAAAACCGGAAATTTTGGAAAAAAACTGTTTTTTCTGGTTTTTTCCCTGACATAGTATTCGGGAAAAAAACCGAAACCCAAGTTTTTGAAGTATTAACAAATCTATTAAGCAAATTTCTGCAACGAACGTTATAATTGATATCGCTGACCTCATCGAAAGGGAAAATGGCCATCACGCTCCTCTGAATTGAGTTTTGCCGGCAGAGCAGGCGGAAACTTAATCACGCTATACTAAACATAATACATCTTTCAGCCCCTAAGAAAACAAAACAGCGCGACGGCGGGGCAAGTGAGGAAACACAATCACCTCGGGTTGTCTGCCGCCTCGCCCCGTCGTTGCACCGTTTGCGTTGTCTAAAAACTATGCAGCAACCATCCCGAATGACCGTTGCTTTACTGTTCAGTGTGAACGCCTTATACGGAGGAGAAATGACAGTGCTGTCCGAGGCTTGTTGGTAGTGTGTACGCATGTGATGAAGCCGTGTTTCTAAGTCCTCTATGGCGTTTTTCTCGGTCAATAAATTAATATACGAGACTCTTAATTTACAGCCGGATCTCCACTACAGCACCAGCATGAACATAGCTTTAAATAACATAACAGCAGAGTGGCGAAATATAGTCGCATATGTCAACCATTGAAGAAATTAATTTATTTATGTACTATCATGAAGGTAGTGCCATGTTTTAATGCCACATTAAATAATCATATTGAAAGGGGAGTGAAGTTTAACAACATTGATGTATTTTGTCATGACCCTTTTCCCTTCTAAGGGTACAACTAGTTCTGCATTAAAGAGTACAGGATCAAGCTTCAAAACCAACATTGGATGATGTAGATATGCACGCGTTGACTAGATATCTTTTGTAAATTAAGACGGATGTTCCAAAGCAGTGTGTTAGTTAGGGCTACTCTGACTCCACGCTTGAGTCATCTGCGTCGTGGTATTTCAGATCAGGGCGCTTGAGCTCGAGATTGGAGCGAACAAACACCAACTTCTGCACTCTGTGTCCTTTGAGTCGGTTCCTACTTTTGGTGTGGACACCGCTGAACTTCGACCAGTTTCGTTCGCACGCAGCGGAGGAGGGCGGGACTTGGAGAAGGCGACAAGCAATTGCTGCCAGGGGTTCAGAGGCACACAGCCCTTGCCACCACGTGGACGGTGGAATATGCTTCGCCGAGTCCTCCAATGCCTTCCTGGACCAAGCACCTGACTGGACCCGGTATTCGGCGAGATTTGACAACACTTTTCCCACATCGAGACACATCCTTTCTGCTGTCCATTGCGTGGCATACCTCTTCGTCACTTAAGCACCGCCCTTTGAGCTTCGGGTCGAGCAAATTTGCGGCAGCATGTGCTGGACGGCAAATAAAGTTGCGTCACTCACGCAGGATTTCTGCTACCCTTTCCTTTTCGCCCGTTGTCAAGGCAGAGTTTGGAAGGGCCTCTTCGACTTGTCTTGTTACTTTGAACAGGATCTCATGGACGTCTGAGAGGACAGCAGTGTCTGACTCAGCCTCGGAAATAGCACGGGCAACTGGCTGCAACACGTGGAAGGTGCTTTGCACATCTCGCCAAAAGTAGTCTTCATCTAATATCGTTGATCTTATTTCCCTGCTCACTTGAAGCTCCGCAGCGATCACAGTTTTCTGTAAAGCTCCTTTGTTCTTCAGTAAGCCTTCTAGTGACATCAAAATGCCCGCCCAGCGAGTTTCAGCTGGTAGTTTTAATGTGGTCTGGTTTCCAGCATAGCACTCCCCTTAGCAAAAAGAGGCCGTACTTCAAACGAAGTTGAAATATATTTAGTACGAATATTCATTTTGTATTTATTCTGTATCATTTTGGCCGCATTCGAAATACGCGCGTAATGTATTCAAAATACATTATAAATATGAATCAAAAAATATTTTAGATATACCAAAAATATTATTCCTTCACACTCAAGATGCCATTTGTCGATTAAAAACCGGTTACACAATTTTTTTTTATTTCCGATTTTGTCAGCAAATGGTGTCCCTGTGGTATTTGAAGGCACTACTAAATACATCTCACAAAGCCACATTAGAAACGAACACAAACACAAACACCATGACGCACTGAAGAGCTCATTCACAGTCCCGTTGACTGCTCTAGAGCCTTATATAGCCTACATATTGAAGGTAATAATTTTTTCGGTGACCACCTCTGCGCTTATTAAGGTTACAAGTATTCGATCTTCTCCTCGGGAGTCTGTCAAGGGGGAAACAGTGTTTTCAAGTTCGTGGACGATATCTCTTACTAAAAGGCATTGGTACAACTAATAACAATTCGGCACAGTCTCTAAAACAATATCCACACAAACGGCTCATAAAATACATGTTATTGCTTCTCCGCGTAGCACCACTCACGGCGAAGCGAATCAAGGCAGTTTCTTCACTTTAAAATACTGTAAACGACTTTATTTTCGTGAGGACCTAATTCTCGCAAAGTTGGCGAATCGCCTACAATTCCGAAAAATAGGTCCCGTGAACAATTCCGGCAAAATGTAAAAACATTAAAATCTATATTGCGATCCCAGCGCGTCGCGAAAATTTGAATTTGCGAATTATTCCAAAACTCCAACTTTGACCTAAATCGCGAAATATTGAGCTCGCGAAAAATAAATATTTTACAGTAGTTGTTTTGCCTTTCCTTTTTAGTAGTTGACTATTTAATATGGTAGTTAATGTCACTGTATTAAAGTCACTATTCACATCACGTACAATGGTGAGTATACACGTTCAGTGAACTAACATTGTGCTAACAAAACCACGCCAAACGTATCTGTTCACAGCACCTGCTGAAGCTTTCCATCATCAGCAAATGTTGTGGTTGTAGTTTCCGAACCCCGTTTGTGATTGGTGTGCAAGGAACTGATCAGGTGTGTTCTTGATAGAAAAAAAGGAAACAATAACATAAACTGGGCTGATTTATCAGTGCGATGCTGCGCAATTCAATTGCCAAACTAATGAAATGTATTTAGGCGCTTCAGTGTACTCCATATCTGCTTGAAGTGAACTTCAGAAGGGGAGCTTTTAAATATTTTGGTAGTTTAAGTCAAACTACCAAAGTATTGCAGTCAAAAGGTACTTAGAGTATAACACAACAGTATTTACGATTTTCAGGTATTTTAAGAGTATTCTGTACGTATTCTTGATTGCTCCGTTTTTTAGGGTTGGAGTATATTTTGCACGAATTAAATAAATATTTCAAGAAATATATGTGAAAGGTATTTTGTGCCTATTAATTTAGTATTTACATATTTCAAAACGCATGAAGGGAACTTCAAATGTAGTTTAAGTAAAGGTATTTTAAAATGATTTTTAGAAGTATATTTTAGTACCAAGTAACAAAAAAAGAAGTTTATATTTTCGGTATATTTTTCGTGTACTTACAATTATGAATTGTATTTCAAATACACTCAAATTAGGATGTGGTATATTTCAAACGTATTAGTTTTCGCTAAGGGTCTTCTTGCCTCTTAGCAAAGTGAGCCGCAACCACGTGAGAGTTTCTGACATACTTGATTACAGTCTTGGACCTCTTGCAAACGTCTTGCAATGTCACCAGTTTGAGCGTGTCCGACAGCAACAAGTTTAGTCCATGAGCACAGCATCCAAGAGTAGTGATGCTAGGGTAGCGCAGACTGACGATTGTCCACGCGGCCTTCATGTTGCTTGCATTGTCGGTAACAAGAGCGAAAACCTTGTCGGTTCCAATTTTCTCCACAACCTTCACAATCTCTCCCGCGATGTAGTCTCCTGTGTGCCTGTGATCTTCCGTCTCCACGGCGCTGTAGAAACTAGGCTTCGGTGTAGCCAACACAAAGTTAAAGATGCTCTCGCCCCGTACATTGGTCCAGCTGTCCGGGAGTACAGTGACGCCCCTTCGCGAAAACTAATACGTTTGAAATATACCACATTCTAATTTGAGTGTATTTGAAATACAGTTCATAATTGTAAGTACACGAGAAATAGACCGAAAATATAAACTTCTTTTTTTTACTTAGTACTAAAATATACTTCTAAAAATCATTTTAAAATACCTTTACTTAAACTACATTTGAAGTTCCCTTCATGCGTTTTGAAATATGTAAATACTAAATTAATAGGCACAAAATACCTTTCACATATATTTCTCGAAATATGTATTTTATTCATGCAAAATATATTCCAACCCTAAAAAAATGGAACAATAAAAAATACGTGCAGAATACTCTTAAAATACCTGAAAATCGTAGATACGGTTGTGTTATACTCTAAGTACCTTTTGACTGCAATACTTTGGTAGTTTGACTTAAACTACCAAAATATTGAAAAGCTCCCCTTCTAGAAGTTCACTTCATGCAGATATGGAGTACGCTGAAGCGCCTAAATACATCATTTGATTAGTTTGTCAACTGAATTGCGGAGCATCGCACTGATAAATCAGCCCAGTTTATGTGATTGTTTCCTTTTTTCTATCAAGAGCACACCTGATCAGTTCCTTGCACACCAATCACAAACGGGGTTCGGGAACTACAACCACAACATTTGCTGATGCTGGAAAGCTTCTGCAGGTGCTGTGAACACCCTTAGCAAAAAGAGGCCGTACTTCAAACGAAGTTGAAATATATTTAGTACGAATATTCATTTTGTATTTATTCTGTATCATTTTGGCCGCATTCGAAATACGCGCGTAATGTATTCAAAATACATTATAAATATGAATCAAAAAATATTTTAGATATACCAAAAATATTATTCCTTCACACTCAAGATGCCATTTGTCGATTAAAAACCGGTTACACAATTTTTTTTTA